GTTATTATTTATATTTAATATTTTTTTAGCTGTAAATAAACAATATTTCTATATAAAAATATATTTTTATATAGTTAGTTGGTTTGATTGTTATGGGTATATTAAAAAAAATAATGTCAATATTGAACTTACATAATTGATATTCTACAAATGCAAATAAATAATCGAGCCGAATAAGATTTCGAAATGAAATATTTAGTTCATTTAGTTTTCGATCATTATGTGCAATTTTCCTAACATTATAGTGCATTCTGATAGTCGTTAAAGTGCAATTCATCTATCATTATTGTGCAGCGGAAGTGTATTATTTATTAATATGAAAGTATATTTATTATTTTTAATATTTGTATATATTACAATTTTACATAATAAAATTCTTAAACCTTGTACATTTTATTTATCATTAATATTCATTTATGATATACTGCTATAAATTCCATCTTTAGTCATGAACTAAATTAAAAAATACTCAAAATTAATAAAATAGCAAAATTATCTCTCAACACTATATAATTTAAAGAAATAAAAAAAGAATGAATCATAGTCGTTGGATATTATATATCAACGCTGTAGACGCGGTCAAAGGGTCCAGCTTTAGTCAAACATGCGGTGGCATTTATATAAATAAGTGGAGCTTTAATTTTTCACGCGAGGATATTTCAATCATCGCGCGAGATATAGTGTTGCGATAAAGTGCAATGTCACATGCACAAAAGTGCAGTTCGTAAACAAAACAGTGCAGTTTGTATAGTGTTATTTTTGATGTGCAATTACGAACGCAATACGATATACATTAAAGTGCAATTATTAAATTTTATTAAATTACAAATTTAACCCATTAATTAAATTGTAATATAATTAAATATTTTAAAATTATAATTAGGTCCTCAAGCTTATTTAATTTTCAAAATTGGTTCATCCCCAATTTTCTGGCCGGCGAATCTTCAAAACACGACCCCTGACCCTCGCGCGTCTACGGCATCCGCCGAGGGTAGCCATCCAGCCGTGGGACTGCTAGAAGAGGAAGTCGGAAAATCTGACATTGAATTTGATTTTGACCTCGGTGAGATGTCGTAGGGTCGGTCGCAGGTGGTTGTCTGGCTAGGGTTCCAAGGCGACGATAAATGATGAAGGTGATTAGATTCACGACAGTGAGATAGGGAGGGAGCGCTGAGGAAGACGATGGACCCGCCTTCGATCGTCGGGCTCGCAGGTAGAATTATGTGCGAACGAGTGGCGGGCGACAGATCTGGTGGTCTTGCCTTCGATCGTCGGGGTTGCAGGTGGAATTCTGGAGGTCTTCTCCCATTGTTTAGGGTGGCGAGCTTATATGAGGCGGTGGCAGCTGAGGAAAGCGGTGGTGGTTGAGGAAGGTGATGGCGGAGGCGGTGCTCGCGGGCGGTGACCGACGGGAGGTTGTGAAGGGGAGGTGCTGTGTTTGTATATGTGTGTGTGTGTGTGTGTGAGAGAGAGAGAATGGGGGGAGAGGCGAGTTTAGGGGTCTGACTGGGTGTGGACCACTGTTGGTGTAATAGGGAAGTGTCAAAATTAACCTTAATGAAGGTATAATTTGGCTTTTTTTATTAGCCATTAGATCATCAGATCTAATGGCTACAATTTATTCTTATTTTTTTCATTGAGAACCATTCTCATGTGAACCCAACCCTATATATATATATCCGTTAATTAATTTAAGTTCGATCGAACCGAACCACTATTCGTGTAGTCGACCCAAACCTGAAGAAACTGGCCCGTGTCATTTGAAATCGCACGCTCGCGCCCCATGACCGGACCCGACTCGTTTTTCCTTTCCCTCTCCTTGTTTCTTCTATGGCAAGCTTGTGGTAACCTAGTATTATAAATAGAGGGAGAAACCCTCAGCTGATCGTAAACAATCCCGTAGCTACTCTCCATCGATCTCTCTCAACTCTCGTTCCCTCTCTCGCTATAATCTCTCTCTCTCTCTCAAGTTCGCAATAGAAAATATTATCTGCTCCCTCTCTCTCGCAACCGGTCGCCATTGTCATGACCATCCCGCTGAGCAGCAACCAGTTCCATCACCCCGGCGAGATGCTTTTCCCGATCGTGCTCCATCGGCGAGTCCCAATCTCCGCAGGCGAGCCCAGCGTGATCTGTCCCGCACCTCTCGCCATCGTCGCCTATTATTTCGGCGTTCACCATGTTCACGCGATCCCTACTCTGGTTCGATTCGTACACCACCGCGAGACCACCAGCAGGTTGTCCTCCCCGCTCACTGCTCCCGGCGTCCCATTATCCGATCGTACGCCTCCAGCTCAGCCGTACTCCTCCTCAGCAGCGTTGCGCCTCTGCTCGTCGTGACCAGACCCCGCGAGCAGTTCTTTCGATGTCCCACGTGAACTGGTCAGGTCCCGTTCAACGCTGCCCAAGCGCCGCTGATCACGTGCAGACCACCGTATACTCCGGTATGCGAGCCAAACGTAGTTGTCGAGCCCCGCCGGTGCTCACGTACCGACCCTTTCAGTCCCATTTCAATTCCTTCGTTCGAGTTTCCCGAGAATGGTCGGACTGATAATCTCCCTATATTTCGACGTGATATAATTGTTCTATTGATGCCTTGGGGATGAATTTATAAATAGGGTTGATAATAGTTTATATGTTATGTGATCTTGTGTAGCAATTTTATGGATTTATTGAGATCATGTGAAATCCTTTCGAATCCGTGAAAGTGCTATGGATTCTAGAACATTGTCGAGTCCTTGGCCTTATGGTGGAGGCCTTGGACGAATTTGTTGAGTTTCGAGTCATGCATGAATTTTTGAAGCTCAAATAGTTGTTGTTTATGTGTTAAATTCGTGATAAATCACATGTTGCTCCGATTGATATGACATTTCGGGTGTCATGTCCTCTAATGTTCATATAGGTCGTGTAAAAATTTCATGATTTAATTCCAACTGTAGTTATTTTTAATATATGTTTTGATTTCTGGACAAAAACTTGTAAATTGCATAATAAATCGAGTTGTCCTCCAACTTGGTTGAAATTTGAGTATGATGTCTCTCAATCAGATTTGGATGTCGTGTAAAAAGTTCATAATTTTTGGACTTCGTTTGCCAGGGTAATTAATTGTTTGTGTTATTCTTTTGAAACTCGTTTTATTTATGAAAACTCGACCTGTTGTTGTAAATTGCTTAAAATTGGTATGCATACTCCTTTTATGTTGTATTATGTCTTATAAAAGTTTCAGAATTTATTATGTTCGTTATGATAGGTTTTTAATGAAAATAAATTTTCTGCTGAATCTATCAAAAATTGTCATAAATCATGTCTTCAGGATTTTTAGCTGCATTTTTTATATGTCATACTCCATGAGCTGAACCTTAATATGTTAAATTTGCATGATCAGATTCACTTTGTAGGTCTGCCTTTTAATTTTAATTCGTTTCAGCTGGAATCTTGTTTTAATTTTGTAAAAATTGAGTGTCTTGAGTTAAGGGCTAAAACTTTGTGATATTGCTATGTTCAGTGAGGAGAATCTTGTGTTAAAATTTTATAGCCTAACTAGTTTGTTTGTCTGACCAACTTGAATTTATGTTTTCTCCCTATGTTTTGGAATCGAGTCGAGTCTAAGTGTTAAGTCCAAGTGTTCCAATGTCCACAGAACTCCACGAACGACTTAGTTGAATCATGTTCGACTAAGTATGAGTTTGTGTTCCTTCTAAGGTCAAGATAAGATGTTGATCATAGTTGTAGCACCCCGTTCGTTTATTAGAATTTTTTGGGATTTATGTGATTATTATTTGCATTTATATTATCTTTGCTTCGTTTCCTTATTTATATTGTTTGCTAGTTTATAAATATTATATGCTCGTTCTTACCTTGTTTCATTTATCTGCTATATTATTAAATTGCTATGTGATATAATTTGTGTGACTGTTACGTGAATTATTTTATTTTGTGATGAATGAGGATAATTAGGATTATTTTAGATATTAGATTTATCGTTAGGCGATCTTCGATTATAATGCGTAGAATAGCTTTCACCCCGTCTCGACCCATTTTGGTGTTTTATATCCGAAACGTGGAGGATTAAACCATTTTCGGCCCAATGTTTTTGTGATAGCTATTACCAGCCCAAAAAGGATTAATTTGGCCCATCCTCCTTTGTGATTGATGATTTATCAGCCCATTCAATTGGCCCAAGTATGATTAATTCCAGCTTTTGAGTTGGTTTGGCCCAAATTCCTTGCAAATAACTGTGGGCCCAATATTGTAGTCAAATTAACTCACGTGCAATGAGAAGAGGTCCCTGCGACCGAGTCCATCCCCCATCTTCGCCTGTTGCGATTTTCTTACGAATTTACCCTTGCACGTTCGCTCACTCGCTCATCTCTTATAATCTGGACCAAGGGCTTTTATCAAATAATCTCATCTCTTTCATTCGAAGCACTGTTTGTAGCTTTTGAAAAAAAAATCTTACAATTATTCCCGACCGCCATTGTTTTCGGCGACCTGAAACTCGAAAGCCGGCTTCCTCTCAGTGTTGATCACCGACCGCCACCGTCAATGTCTATTTTCTCTCAAGAAGAAGTCTTACCACGTGACGGTGAACTCTTGCAGCAGGTCCGTCTCTCACCCCGACCAATTCCGGTGAGTCCCTGTTTGCCGGTGATAGTCCCGCGAGCAGCCTCTAGTTGTCACCAACGTTCTTCGCAGCATTCCAGTTCGCAAGCAGCACCTTTGGAGGAGTTCTGAGGTTTCGATCTGCTCGTCCGAGTAATGTTTGTTTGGTCCGTTTATCCCCCGAGCTTGTCTGTTCCAGAAGAAAGGTATTCTTGGATCGAAACCTCCTTGTTAGTTTGTAGTTTGGGTTGATATCGTTCGTGTATTTCATGCTCGTTGAGTCGTCTCTGTTGATTTGGTTGGACTATATATATATATATTCAATTTTTGCTTTGTTCGTCGTATTTTGTTTCGGGTATTAATCGTGTGGATTGGAACTCTCGTTTGCGATATGTCAAGCTCTCGGTTGCTGTGTAATTCGTATAGATGTCCGGACTCTCGTTTTAATGTTTCGAGCCTTGTCGTTTTGTTATTCGTATTTTTGTTTCGTTCGAACCGTTATCCTAGTCGTTTCATTTTCGAGTCAAAACCCGATTTTCTTAAATGTTCGAACTCTGTAAAACGTGGTATTTGCAAAAATTTATTCGTTTCTCGAATCCCGGTTGTCCTTGGATATCTAGTTTCGGTCGAAACTTGGTCGCAACACTGTAGTTTGTGTTATTATCACTAAATGGCCATAAAAATATACAAAACACAAATTTTGGCCATGTTTTGTAAAAAACATATTTTTTAACCATTTTAACATATAAAAATACCACTTTACCCTTTAAATATTTTTTTTTCATTTTCCACCGTCAAACCAATTTCCCTCTTATTTTTCACCACAATCAAAATATTGTCTTCCAAACCTAGAGAGAGGCACACCAAAACCCTAGCCAGCCATTTCTGCTGCGAAGATGTAGATCTTTGTAAAGACTCTCACCGGCAAGACCATGACCCTCGAGGTCGAGTCCTCGTACACCATCGACAATGTGAAGGCCAAGATTCAGGACAAGGAAGGATCTCGCCGGACCAGCTACACCTCATCTTCGCTGGGAAGCAGCTCGAGGACGGCCGCACCCCCGCCATCTACAACATCCAGAAGGAATCCACCCTCCATCTAGTGCTCCGCCTCTGGGGAGGCGCCATGAAGCGCAAGAAAAAGACCTATACTAAGCCCAAGAAGATCAAGCACAAGAAGAAGAAGGTCAAGCTCGCCGTTCTCTAGTTCTAAATGGTAGATGACTCCGGCGCTACTGCGGTAAGTGTGGTCTCACCTATGTCTACAACAAGGCTTGTGGGGATTGAGGTCCACTATTTTTCTGTTGAGATTGGTTGAGTGTCTTAATGTTCTATCATTTGTCGTTGCTATTCTAGGTACTTTGATTTGAACCATCTTTGTTTGAATGGCGTTT